GGACACAAGACACCGGGGGGGGGGGGTAGGGGCCAGGGGAATGTCAAGGGGGGGGGAAAGGAGACATATGTAATATTCTTTGTAATACTTTAAGAAATAAAAATTATATATAAAAAAAGAACTGCTTCTGCAAGAAAATGAGCCTGAAAGATAAAAGCAACTTCCCAACTAATTTAATTCCCACCTTCGGGGTTCTCTGGTCAGTAGGGGTGTTCTGATTGATGGGATTTTTCTTGAGGCTGTACTGATGATACCTCTGGACCAGGAAATTAAAGGCCACACTGAAATTATCAGGGTATGTAAGGAAATAAGCCCAGAGAACTGAGTCACCCAAGGTTGAATGAAGATAGGTCTTTCCAATCAGAGAACTGAGGCAGTCTGTCCAAGAACCCAGCAAAAAACAGGATTTGAGCCTGAATTATTAGGATAATTGCCTTAATTCTTCACTTTCCTTTCATAATAACTTTGAGTTTATATAGAGCCTTTCTTCTAAAGAGCTCAAAATACTTGCAGAGATAGTATCTTAGTTGTCATCACACCATCACAGTTGGTGAGAGCAATGATTATTATCAGCCTGTTTAACACATGGAGGAAGGAAAGCCTAGAGGGGTGAAGCAGAGTCATCAAGTTTACCCAGCAAGATACTGCCAGCCTCTGAACTCAGCAGGAATTTCTCTTGCCAATCATTGCCCAAAGAATGTTATTCTCAACACCAGTCCAACCAAATGCTTGTAGGAACACCAAGTTCTGTGGGCCAATACATCTGGGAAATATTTCGTATTCTATTCTCCTGGAGAGTCACAATTTACATTAGCTAGTAACGACTTTTAGAAACCCTGCATAAAATAAACACGTTTCTGTTTAAGTAAGAATCTCTAAATTAAACTTGACCACAAAACTATGTGTGTGTGCGTGTGTGTGCGTGTGCGTGTGTGTGTGTGTGTGTATGTGTGTGTGTGTGTGAGTCTGTGTGTGTGTGTAACACCTACTAACATCCTGTAGAACTAGTCTTCTTTGGAGCCCACGTTGAGAAGCACTGGTCTGTCCACTAGACTGATCTAAGTATCAGTATAGCAAACAGATCAATTCTATTCCAGTCCAACCTGTGAGAATGTTTCTTAGAAATATTGCCTGATACCCTGTGGTTTTGACAGCCAGTAAACAAAGGACCTTGGTGCACCCTAGGACCCCAGGCCATCGTTTCCCCTGCAGTAGGGCATTGGCCAGAGTAGGGAGGAAATTAATTCAAGCTCACCTAATTCTGCTGAAATTTCTTTCAAATAGGACCCAGGGCTATTTTTGGTATTCATTTAAGGGAGGGGGTTCTTAGGATGCTGGTCTAAGCCCTAAGAGCTTATGGTCTTAAATCCATCTCCTAGGTTCATTTCCAGTGCCACTCATCAGCTCATGCAATCAGCAACAAAACAACAAATGAGGAGACTCAGAATGTGTCCCTGTTCTGGCTTAATCATATGAGTATTAGAGTACTCATCATATATCTATTTCAAAGCTAAAATACAGCACACAATCTTGTGCTATCATAAATTACCAGTGACACTACTAAAAGTACCTAAAATGTAAAAATCCCTGAAGACCCTGTACTGGTTCATTTGTATTTCATATACAATTCAAATGATAAAGCAACACACATGGATTTAATATTCATTACTACTATTTTCATGTTTCATTACAGTATTTATTATTAAACATTCACACCATGAGGGAAAATGCCTCTATTAAAATTGGTAACTTTTGTGCAAACTGTAATACAGGTATACCTTTCTTTGGTATACAACCCATTGGCTATATGAAAAATCCTGTGTAAATGTATTCTGGGAGTAAATATTTCACTGTCAAGGTCAGATGGGCACTGTTATTTAAGATGATTTGATTATAAATCTTTTGTAAAGCAACAAACTCTGCAATGTGAATACTGTCCATTTAGTTCATTTCCTTGTAAATCCATACTTACACATTCCATATTTGCTTAAAGCAAAACACACTAATATTAATAAATGAGCTAGACATTTCTTAAGATGGGGATGTGTTCTGATCCTTATCAATCTGCAGTACTGGCTCTTTTTGTTTTTTAAGTTAATTTCTAAAATTGAATTTATTGGGGTGACATCCTATATAATAAAGAGCTAATATGCAAATGGTCATCACACCCTCAGGCCATCATGCAGTAATGGCTCAGACACTCAACACTGGGGAGAGAGGAATAGGGGCCAGCCAGGCACAAATGAGCTCACGAGAGAGGAATGGGGATCAGCCAGGCTGCAGCCCAGGAGAGGGACAAGCCACCCGCCTCATGGTCCCGGGCACCAGCGGCTGTGCCTGTGCCTGTGGCCTGGGAGAGGGACAAGCTGCCTGCCCCGTGGTCCTGGGTGCCAGTGGCTCCGCCTGCGCCTGCAGCCCTAGAGAGGGACAAGCCACACGCCCCATGGTCCCGGGCACCAGTAGCTGTGCCTGCACCTGCGGCCCAGCCTGGAGGAGGGTCAAGCGGCCCACCCCTCGGTCCCAGGTGCCTGCAGCCAGCCCGGGCAAAGCCAGTCCAGGTCCTGGGTGTCTGCGGCTGGCCAGAGGGAGGGAAGCCCAGGTCCTGGGTGCCTACAACTGGCTGGAGGAGGGAATCCTGGGTCTTGGGTGCGGGGCAAGGCAGAGGCAGTTAGGGGCAATCAGGGCAGCAGGGGAGCAGTTAGGGGTGATCAGACTGGTAGGGGAGCAGTTATGGGTGATCAGGCAGGCAGGCAGAGGTGGGTAGGGGTGATCAGGCAGGCAGAGGTGGTTAGAGGCAATCAGGCAGGCAGGCAGGCAGGTGAGCAGTTAGGAGCCAGGAGTCCCAGATTGCAAGAGGCAGTTGGATATCCCCCGAGGGGTCCTGGATGCAGGCCGGGCTGAGGGACCCCTCCCCCCCGCATGAATTTTGTGCACTGGGCCTCTAGTTGGTTAATAAAATTATAAAGTTATATAGGTTTCAGGTGTACAGTTCTATAACACATCATCTGTATACTGTACTATGTGTTCACCACTTCAAGTGTCCTTCCATCACTATTTATCCCCCCTATACCCTCCTCTACTTTCCCCCACCCCATAGTGGCTCCTTTTGTATTCACCATTAATCACCATCCCAGTCCAGAGAGATTCATTCTGAGTTGGTTGAGAATGTGACAGTAACACTTCTGAGGACACCCTGCAGTCTTATTTAACGATGACTCCTCTGCCTTTAGACATGCTGTTCCTTCAACTTAGCCACCTGGTGAATTAATTCCTCAAAACTCACTCAAATGCCTCTTCCCCAGTGAAGCCTTTCTTGATCATACCCCTGACCCCCAGCCAGGCATCCCTCCTCTGTGCTCTCTTACAGTATCCTGCCTGTCCCTTGTCATACTCTCCTATAATTATCTGTTTACACAATCTATCTTGCCTACCAGACTGCGCACTCCCTAAGAACTGAGATGTTTTATTCATTTCCATACTTCCAATACTTAACATTATTATGGGCACATAGCAGGTATTTAATAAATGTAGGTTGTTTGAATGATCACTATCTTTAACTGTGTTTTTTATGACCTTGAAAAAGCAATGCTTTATTAAAACCACAAAAAAAGTCAGAGAAGGTTCAGCGGTTTCATCCAGTTTTTATTGATCTTTCTTTAATTTAAGAAATAATGGCCATACCAATTTACACCTTATGGTTCAAGAAGGAAAAAACACAACCTCTAATCCAAATGCACAACTAACGCAAAGCTGCATTTAGTATGTTCCTTTTTCTCCAAACATACATCTTTACATCCTAGCCCACCACTAGCATCACTGCATTAAAGAAGAAATGAAGGCCCTGGCCTGTGTGGCTCGGTTGGTTGAGCATCTTTCCATATACTGAGAGGTTTCCAGTTTGATTCCTGGTCAGGGAACATGCCAGGTTGTGGGCTCTATCCTCAGTGTGTGTGTGATGGGGGGAGAAGGGGGGCGGTGTGAGGCAGCTGATAGATGATAGTTGTTTCTCATCGATGTTTCTCTCTCTCTCTCAAATAAATAAAAACATATTTTTTTTAAAAAGGAATGAGGATCCACTGATTAAAGGAGGGTGGTGGTTACTGCAGGGATCACTGTAAGAGCTTTGGATGCTCACTGGCTGAGGGAAACCTGCTAAGAAAGTTGGGCATCATTGGGGGAACAATAATGATGTCAATTAAGACTTGTTCAACCTGGGTAGGAATTTCCACATCCATAATATTCTAAATAAGAGCCCCAGCTGGGGGTATTTCCATCACATTGGGAGGGCAGAACAGGTTGGAATTGATCCACCTGCATATTACTGCAATCTGACTTGGCATGGGATGATACCCAAGGACATGTAATGCCAAGAGTAGCCCAGCCCCATGAAGCGCATACATACACCCCCCCCCCCGACACACACACATACACTCACTGAATCCCACACAAAACGCTCATGATATCCGCGGCACACACCACTGCATTCTTGTGTGCCCTGTCACAAAGAGGGAGTGCCCCCTCACATCCTCTCACTTCCCTAGTCTGCCTAGCCCACACCCCACACCACCATCAGACCGCAGCCTAGCATGGAACTGTAAGCTGGTGAGGACTGGTTTTTGTTGTATGTAACAAAGCCCCATGCACCCAGGTACCCCGCTGGATGACTCCAGCTATTGCTCCCCGCCCCCATCATAAGCTCCAAGAACAAGAGAAAGCTCAGCTCTGAGAAGTGGATGCGAGGGGGGCGGGGGCGCAAAGAAAGAGAGCTTTAGGGGTGGGCGGGGAGCAGAAGTCTGGGCAGCTTTGGTGTTCTCTCGCCTTGAAGCAAGAGGAACAGTGAACTGGCAAAGGGATCCAGCGCCTTTTCACCCCATCGAACCCCATCTATTCATTGGAAAAGACCAAAACCTCATAAAATAATTTTCCCTCCCGTCTGCTCCGTGCCCTCTTGGAGCCACAGGCGCTCCAACAGCTCCCAACAAAGCGTCCCCCATACAGACCTGTTCCAGCCTCTTCGTGGCAAGAGCGAGAGGGAGCAACTGCTGAGGGTTCTGCCCTATGTCGCCAAGCAGGAGGCGCTGGCTGGGAGGAGGAGCAGGAACTGGGGGAAGAAGGAGGATGAGAAGGGATAGGAGACACAGCAGCAGAGGTGGCGGCGGCGGCGTCGCGGCGGTAGGAGGAGGAGGAAGAGGAGAGGGAGGAGGAGGCTGCTTCTGTGGCAGCTGCTGAGGATGCTCTGGCGTGAGGCAGGGCTGGGTGCGCGGGGCGTGGGCTCACGTGCGCCCCATGGCCAGGGGATGCGCGCGCGTCTGGGTGTGAGAGAGCATCTGGGTATATTTTAACTATGATTTTTCCAATTCCGACCTAGACTGGAACTTGTGGTTCCTGCAGCCAGGCGGAAGTGAAACCCTTTCAGTCTCTCAAGCTAGACTGTGACTGCATGGGGATGGGGGTTGTAGGTGAGGGAGCGAGCGCGGGGAGAAGGGGATCTGTACCAGAGCTCCAGGCCTGCCATTAATGTCCACACTCCTTCCTTCAATCTTCTTTCTGGGCACTGGTAGCTTGCATCTGCACATATCTCTGGAAAGGCTATAACCAAGGAGAATAGAAGGAGACTGAGGACAGTCACTATCACCATCACATTGTATTGCGTGAGTGAGCGCTGCCTGGACTACCCAAAAGGCAATTTCTGTTCTAAGTTGGGTTTGACTTTCACTAATTGAGGTGCCTATAACTTCATGCACGATTACATCCCGCCTTTTTTCCTGTCTCTCATCCCATTGAAAAATCTCCGTGCTTGTAAGCAAGGTGGCATACAGTCAATTATCTACTTTTTAGTCTGCTTATCCAGCCAGCATTATCCACACCCCCACCCCAGCTTCACTGGTGTCAAGGAGTCATTTAATCAACATGCTACTCCCCCTCTAAGAATGGGGTACTCAGTGTAGATAAGAATAACACTGGTTTCTAGATGTCAAAGAATTGAAGATCATCATGGATCCAGCTGAAAACCCAATTTGGATCCGCACTCCTTAAGCTAAGATATGGGAAAGCAACTTTGACAGGCACAGCTTTTCCCTGTGAGTGGATCCTTGGTGAAACCCTTCCTTAGAGCCCTGCTGAAAGTCTTCTTTTCCCTGGTAAACTTTTGAGCATTTCACTTCATCCTGCCTGATGGTTTATACTTATAGAGCACTTGGGGATTTACAAGCACTTCCTAATAATGCGATCCTTACCATACCATCTCTGTGAATTGGGCTAGGAAAATATCATTATTTGTATTCCATAGGTAAAGAAACAGATTTCATGGATTTTCCTAACATTACAGGCTAGTGACTGGCAGATCCAGGATTGGGACACAGGTCTTCAGATTTCCAAGCCAAAGTTTCTTTTTTAAATTACATCTTGGAAAGAAATTACCAATTTATCTATTAATCTCCATGCTGGCATTAAATGGTTTAGTGTCTTTACTAAGTTGAAATTTTTAACTATAAACGAGATTTTGAAAAATAATTTGTTAGGTTGATACATTCAGGTGCAACTCACAAATTAGTGGGCAAAAAGAGTTAAAGACTTTTAGACCTCAGTCCCCAATTTAGAAACATGATTATTTCTTTGATTCGGCTGGCAGCTACTATAAGAATAATTTGAAATGAAGGTACAGAAAGGCTGATAATCTTGTGAATGTTTCCCCCTCAAGCTAGATCTTTGTCCTCGAAGTCATGAGAACGAATCATTGTTTGCCACCAAGGGAGTAAACCTGTCTCTCACACAACAGCTTGAGTAATCCCAGGAGTGTGCAGATGGATATCAAGCAAAAGAGGCAGGCTGGTGCAGGGGGCTAAAGCGCCACTCTGGAACCAGACAGCCCTACCTGGAAAATCTTAGAGAATGATTCATTATCAATGATCCACCTATGAAATAGGTATGGAAGTATGAGAATGAAATGGAGTGATACAGGTGCCTGAGATATAGCAAGTCTAAATAAATGATAGCTATTATTATTAGAGAAAAGAAACAACTTCATTTATAGTTTTTTCTCCATTAAAGTCAGAAATTGTTCATTACTAATAATATCTCAACATTGAGGGAATGCAGAGGAAGATATTGGTCCTTTCCCCAGGATAGAACAGATCAAGGGTTGACAATAGGAGATTGAAAGATCAGACAGAGGCCGAAAACCAGGACTACAGGCTTTATTAGAGGAGAAGGACCTGCCGGGCTGTCTCGAAAGGGGAGGACAGCAGAACGTGCAGGGGTGAGCATGACTTTTGAGAGGCGGAATGGGAAGGGGTAGGGGCTTAGTGTACTCGGCGAACACTGATTGGTGGCCTACTGTATTGTCCATATAGGACAATGGCTTAGGGTATTTGGCAGGTGTGGATTGGTGGTCCAATGTATAGTCCATATAAGGTACATGGTTAATCACTCAGGTATTTCCGGGCTGCAGGTTACATCATACTCCGCCCACCAGTTGGGAGAAGGGAGGATCTATCAGAGATAGGCATGATAAACAAAGAGAGATGAGGGATTCTCTGCAACAACTGAGAATCAACATAAAACTGAGAAGAGAACAGGATCAGAAGAGGATGATGAAAAGAGGGCATTTAGGTTTGGGAAGGAAATTTTGACCCAAATTCTTGATACTCATGGTTATTGTGATAGATGTATATGCCTGTTAACGGTTTTGTAACAATGTGCAGTGGAACCTGAGTTCTTGAACTTAATTAATTCTGGACGGCTGTTCAAGAAGTGCTTTGTTCTAAAACCAAATTTTTTTTTTCATTAGAAAGAATGTAAATTGAATTCATTAGTTCCAGACCCCTAAATGATTCTCTGTTTTAACCTTCCTTATATACATGTCTAATGTACTGTTTAATCTATAAACAAACACTTCTTTTCTTAAATTTATCAAACCACCCCCTACTATCCTTAAACGAATCACTTTCAGCACTTGTTCTAAGGGTGTCTTTCTCCATGTGACATCTTTGATTTTTTCACATGTTATTGCCTCCAACATGCTGTCACCTCCAATATGCTGTCACCGGACTAACTGCTTTTTGTTTGTCCAAATCAACAACAGTTTTTCTACCTCTTCAATTGTTTGTGATCAATGCTCCTTTCACACCACTAGCAGCATTAGTACTCTAGATGGCCTCTTTCTATTTTAAAATTGTGCTTGCTGAAACCGGTTTGGCTCAGTGGATAGAGCGTCGGCTTGCGGACTGAAAGGTCCCAGGTTCGATTCCGGTCAAGGGCATGTACCTGGGTTGCGGGCACATCTCCAGGAGGAGATGTGCAGGAGGCAGCTGATCGATGTTTCTAACTATCTCTCTTCCTTCCTCTCTGTAAAAAATCAATAAAATATATTTTAAAAAAATAAAATAAAATAAAATTGTGCTAATCGCCCATTTCCCCAGCAACAAAAGCAAAAAAAAAAATAAAATAAAATTCACAGCACAATTTCCTGAGATGTTAAGGACTGGAGGTTTTGTGGTGAACTGACTCATACTGGTGAATTATCCCCTTTGTGGCCTGAAAGACTTTTTTTTTTGTCATGTTGATGTATCAGCATGAAAAGGTTGTCAGATCAAGATCTGAAGTTTGTTCAACAACAGAGACATTTTTTCCGCGACCAACTTGGTCGAGAAATAGAATTGTTCAAGATGAAAGATGTTCAAGAATCAAAGTTTGACTGTACATGGTTTACTCAAAGGCATGTTTTGGCTCTTCTAATAAAGCTCTTGTTTATCAAAATGCCTAATAAATAACTCCATTCAAAATCTGTCAGAAATACCTGAATCTGACATTCAGCCAGGAACTCCTTGTTCTGATTTGGTACCAAATAGAGACTATTCTTGTTTCAGCCTTGCCAAGCACAGAGAGGTTGAGTCATAACAATGCTCCGAGCCAAGCTGCAAAAAACAAATTGTGAAGGAGGTGAAATCTGTTTCTGACACCCTTCCACTCTCTGTGCTGCACCCTTCCCTTCCCACTTCCAATCTCTGAATATCAAAATCACTGTCTTTGCCATCCAGAAAAAAAGTGACCAGATGTATTTATTTACAAGGAAGTACCATTACGGGTTTCTTTTCTCAAAAGGGCGACTAGCAGGAGGAGACAGTGCTAAACCCAATAAAATGGAGGTTTAGGCATTCTGGGTGGTTAAAATACCATGGGTGCCCTCAAATCATTTAGGTATGAGACTCCCCATGGATAGGACTGGAACTTGGAAATTTTAATTCACATCATAACAGAAACCCAGAACAAGAGGCATTGGTTATTATCTTCAGTCCAAGCCTTTTGTTTCACAGGTAATTAAACGGAGCCTCAGAAAGTTTAAATGACTCTCCCAAAACCACATAGCTCCCAAGAAGGAGCATAAAGCTCTTTCTACTACACTGTGCTACGCCATCAGCCAAGAAAACCAAGAGCAACTGTTTATTTGCTGGCTCAGGGCAGGCTGCCCCCAAATATGCGAACGTGGCATATTGATTATTTTGAATTAAAGTTACTTGAGAAACAGCCAGTAAAAAAAAAAAAAAAATACACTGACGCTGGCCTCCTTCCCCCAAGAAAGCAGGAAATAAAAATTCCATGTGAAAGTATACTCCTTCCCTGTATCAGGACAATAGCAGACATCCATATCACCAAAGTTATGGAATTCAAGGCTGAAATAACTGTATAAACAAACTTTGCTATTTCTTCATTAGGTTGCTACCCCAAACACAAGCTCTTTTTTTTGTCCAATTTTCGCCAATAATTTTTTGTCCAAAAATGGTATGTAAACAGCCTCCTTTGGCCATTTTGGAGGCCCAATATCTATGAGACCTCTGTGCATATGTAACTAAATTTGATTTTCTGCTATTAATCTCTCTCATACCAATTTAATTCTTAGACTAGTCATAAGAAGAACAGAGCAGGCTATACTTAGAACTGATATTTGGGACTTTATTCTAGGTATGTAGAAATGACATGAAAACAAGAATAGAGACAAGAAATGAAGGTTCCATTATTTTTCTTGCTTCCATTAGCTTTCTCTTCAGAAGCCATCTTTTTTCCTAGTAGCCATTTCAAATAAGACTCATGTAGAATGATCTACGTGATTCCAGACACCTAAAACTAGAAATAATATTAGAGGTATGAAGATTGCCGAGAATGGACAGAGTCCAAGTCACTCACTGAATTTTTTTATTATTGTTGTTGTAAGAACATCTAACATTGACACCTAACCTCTTAACAAAATTTTAAGTGTACAAGATAGTATTATAGGCACAATGGTGTACAGCAGATCTCTGGAATTGAATCATCTTGTGTAGCTAAATTGAATAGCACCTCCCACTCTACCACAGTCCCTGGCAATACCATTCCACTCTCTGCTTCTATGAATTTGA